AATCTCCGGATACCAATACGTTGGACTATTGGGTCTGGAGTATTTTGGAAAGCAAGGTTGGAACTAAAAAATATCAAAGTGTCGATCACCTCAAGCAAGCGCTTCGCCAGGAATGGGCCAAAATACCGCAGAGCAACATTCGGGCAGCGTGTGACGGTTTCATTGGCCGTTTAAAGGCCATAATTCGTGCCAAAGGTGGCCAATTCGAACAAATTTAAACTCATTCTAAAAGTTGATGCTATTTCCGAAAGTTTTTGCTTTCATTCAATATGAATAATGAATAAATCTTTTGTGTCTCGTACCATCAGAATAAATGCCGAATATTATCGCGAAAATATTCTAGAGGGTATATTAAAGCCTTGGGCATGCTAACATTTTGGCCGCAGACCTTGGACATTCCAACAGGACTCAGCACTATCGCATTCATTTCTAGCGCACCATGGCCACATTAACCATATCAGTAAATCTCCGAATACCAATACGTTGGACTATTGGGTCTGGAGTATTTTGGAAAGCAAGGTTGGAACTAAAAAATACCAAAGTGTCGATCACCTCAAGCAAGCGCTTCGCCAGGAATGGGCCAAAATACCGCAGAGCAACATTCGGGCAGCGTGTGACGGTTTCATTGGCCGTTTAAAGGCCATAATTCGTGCCAAAGGTGGCCAATTCGAACAAATTTAAACTCATTCTAAAATTTGATGCTATTTCCGAAAGTTTTTGCTTTCATTCAATAAAATTAAAAAAAATGTAAAAATTATGGCGTTTGACTTTGTTGCAGTTTTTTTTTTTATCTCACCCTGTATAGTTGGACCACCTTAAACTTGTTTTATTACAGTTTAAACCTTGAAATATTTTTGTCCGAAAACTATAGCAAAATATATGGAATGTTTTTTTCTGTTAGTACAAAATTGTTTGTATAAAATATTTATGAAATTTATAGAAAAAGAAATTATATACAAAATTGTTATGCTTATGCAAAAAATAGTGTATATTGTGTTGTTATTTGTATAAATATATATAGAGAATAATTTAAACATATTTTTCATAATATTTATAAAGTAAAAAAAAAACTTTGGCAATATTTTCCTTCATTTTATTTTTTATTTATTTTTTTTTTCAATTTTAAACGTTACGATATGTTTTTGTTAATAATATAAGACTTTTTGTTTTACATTTTCTTCTAACCTATGGATGAAGAAATTTATTTGTTTTGTTGCATAACATACATTTTTACAAAATATAAGACACAAATATTGGAAGAAAAATATTAAATTTGAAGAAAATACAAAAGGAGACCCTAATGATAATGAAATTTTAGAGAAGCTTTTTTCTCGACCATTTTTTTCAACTAGTCACTATTTCGAAAGTTGTAAAACTTAGCAAATGTCCGATTTGAAAGATAATTAGTTTTATCTATCCGAAATATATTATGTTTTATCCATCAGCTGAACGAATATGGTTGTATATATGTTGAGACAACGCTGTGTGAATCGCCATGTACATTAGTTCACCGTCGTACTCAATAATTGAACATTTGGACGACATCATTGACACGAATTTAACGTAAAGAGGATTTGAAGCCAACGGACCATCCAATGTGTTTTCGTTCCGCTAGCTTCGACTTAAAGAAGATGCCGATTTTGCCAAAAAAATATATATTTTGAGATGATGCTCATTTCAATTCTGGCGGGTATTTAAGCATAAGAAAACCGCATTTGTTGCGGATTTTGATTCAAAGGCATAAAATGTCCAACAAGGAGTTGTCGCAACTTTGAACAAATTTTTGTTCACAAAAATTTAAGAAAAGGATATTGCCAACATTTGCTTTCAGCAGGATGGCGCACAAACATTTATATTACACTTGAATGTTTGGTATAAAAATGGGACATATCGGTCCACGTTTCGGAATGACCCCCACATAGCGTTACTTCCTGACTTTCGGTATTTTAAACGTTTATACCACAATTTTGAACCAATTCATGTGTAACATCACATTTAGAGTCATGGCTAAAAAAAAATAGATACTTACTATAACTCATAATTTTCGGTATTGTGTAGGTTTCCACCACAATTTCAAACCCAATCATGAGCAAGTTGACATTTTGAGGTCAGAGCTGGCAGAATCCCTCTCCTTATTTTGAGGGTTTCAGACAGAGTTTTTTTCAATCTTATTATTTGGTAGTTTGTTTCTCAGTGGATAAAAACTAAAAAATTGTCAATATAGAACCACCATTTATCTACAGAGAGTAATGGGGTTAGATCCCCAAAAACGTAGATAAATTCACAGGAAGCAATGGCTAGCGATTAAGACTTCATATCTGAAATGGATCAAAAGCGTATCAATATATTTAAAAAATGGATGATGTTTAAAGCCGTTGATGTTTAAAAATCATTTTTAACGTGTTCCTCCCTTGAATGTACCTTAATGTCTTGAATTGAATCATCAGTCAAAACTGAAGGTGATTCTTAAAGAGACTGAATCATTTTTATATAATTTAGATTTCCCATTAATAATAGCATCAAAGTACATTCACCGTAAAATCTGTTGACTATCTTCAATATTTTTTTCACTCCATATACTCTTCGGATATGGGAAAAATTTGGACATATTACAAATTCATTTTTAACATCACTGTTTTTAAAACTTTTTTATTCTAAAAATCTGATAAAAACCTGTAGTCGGTGTTCCGATTTTAAAGTTATCACTTTTGATGAGAAGAAACTGAAGTAATAAACAATTTTGTCCTTCTTCTTTGGAAAAAAGTAGAACATTTCTCAAACTTAGCACTGTGTAATAAGAAAACTAAAAAACTCTATGACTTTAAATTTTTCAGTACTGAAGTATAAATTTGTGTTCTATAATAGTTTGAAACATTTATTCCAAAAGACACATTTCAATTTGTCAATTAATCTCTCTTAAATAGAACCCGTTAAAAAAACCTGTCAAAATCTTAAAAATACCGAATGTAGCCGTTATATTGTGGTCTATACGAGGAGGTGGACCTGCATAGGCAACATTTGTCATAAGTCATTACAATATTAAAATACGTAACCTGAAGATAATTCGTAGAATAATGCAGCTGAAATCATCAAAATGCCGAAAATAGGGAGGTACCATTATATGGTGACTATACCGAAAGTGGACCTGAACAGACAATTTTCTCTCTTAGGCTGCAGTGTTCATTACAAACTTTAAATACCAAATTAGAAACAATTCCGGTGAATAATGTCGCTAAAATCTTCAAAATGCCGAAAATAGGGAGGTACCAAAACGTGGATCTAAAGTACTGCAGACATAATATACATTTGAGTGATTTCCACAGACGGACGGACATCGCTAAATCGACATAGAATTTTATGGTGATCAAGAATATATATACATTGTGGGGTCTAAAATGTATGTATATATTTCAACCGATTTGGTGTTTAAGCCCCTCATATTCGTAATATGCATTCGACAACAATAATATTTGGTACAAGATATCTTATATAGAGTTCAGAAATACCCATGCCAAATTTTATCGAGAACGACTAAGATTTGAATATTTTTGATTTGATTTTGAGGAACTCGACTTCGATATATGTATTTTTTAATGGAATCTTTCTCGAAGTGATATCATGCACTTTATAGCTATATTGGATAATAATATTATAAAAGATTAAAATGTCTCCGTCAAATTTAGTGAAAATCGACTTAGAATTGGATATGCCTATTAGTTGCCTTTGAAACCAAACTATAACTGCTCTAAAGCCAAATTTTGATAGGTGGTATGATCTAATTCAAATTAATTCTTTTGTTACTGGAGTTCTACTAAATATGCATATTGGTGTAGGGTATCATATAGTCGGTCCCGCCCGATTTTTGACTTTTCCTAGCTGGTTCTTATTATATTTTGTTGTTATAAAGGGAATACCAAAATACTGAAATCATCTCAGGGTGGAAATTAAAAAATCAGCTTATTACTAGTCAAGTCTAGAAAGCTCACCGCCTTTTAGCTTTGCTTTTGAAAAATAATGATTGGTCACTCAGTAATTCGAAAATGCAATTTTTCGCCTTTGAAAAAGATTTTAACAATTTTCATTAGGACCTACGTGTAAGAAATAAAAAAAACTAAATCAAAATCAAACAAAAATTTTGAATATTTTAAATTTATTAGTTTGCGTTTTTATTTTCCATTTAAACTGTACACAAGTGATATAATAAGTGATATATATGGCAAAAGAAATTTAATTACACCAAATACAAGACGTTACGTCATAAAAATTTAGATTTTATGAAATAAAATTATTTTGATTACTTTTTTGGATTTTTTTTTTTTTTTTTTTTCAAATTTGTATTTGACTACCTAAGTTATCGTTAGCTTACGGACTATGTGGCTGATGAGTTGTTGTTGTTGTTTTCTTTGATTCGCTTAACTGCTAACCGTATAGAGTTATAGAGATAAAGAAAAATTCATATCTTTATAATATCTCCATTTGAGAATGGAATTACACAAATACACATAAAAATACATATTAAATTACAATATGTTGGTTTGTTGTTGTTATTTTAAAAATAATATTAAATTTTAGATTTGGATTGTTTTTTAGATTTATATATAATTAAATTGTTTTACCATTTTGTCGTATCTCTATGTGTGTAATTTTATATGTATAGGTATGTATGGCTGTTTGTTTTGCTTTGTTTTGCTTTGTTTTGAGGGAGAGGTTGGTGGCATATCCTTTGGAAAGGATGTTTGGTTTGTTTTTTTTTTTTTAATTTTTCGTTATTAAAACTCTCTTAAAATTTAACAAATACTATTTACATTTGTTATCATTTCATTACGAATTAATAAAAAATAAATTTCAAAATATTTTTTGGTATAATTTTTTTTTTTGATTTTTTCTTTTTTTCTGATTTTGCTTGGCTTTTTACTCTAAATAATAATAATTACACAAAAAACTGATAAGGAACTAAAAACTAAATTCTATACTTTTTGTTCTTGTTGTTTGAATGTTAGTTCACGTTTTTTTTCGGTACGCAGAAAATTTGATGTTATTTTTTCGTTTTTTTTTTTTTTTTTTTTTTTTTGTAAGATAGATAAAAGTTATCGAACAAAAATTCTGCTATTCATGCTCTGGCTGCTGCTTTTGCTGCTCTTTCTGCTGATGATGTTATATTTAATTCAATTAAATAGCTACCTTGATGCTACCAAGCATTGGCCCTGCTGCTGTTGGTCTTGCTGAGCTGTGAAGGCTGATTCGCCGCCCAGCAAGTAGCATGACGAAGATGACAAGCATGAGGGCGAGGACAATGGCAAAGATGAGCATGACGACAACGATGACGATAACAATGATGACGGCAACGTTAATAATGACGGTCTAGATGTTTTCGCATTGTAGGAGTTACAGGACTTAAATATTTGTTCAAGGGAAACGGATGTTGTCACATTAAATGCGTGCTGATGGTACACTGAAATTGTGCCCGATATTGTTGCGTTTGTAGTGGTAGTGGTGGAGGTTGTGGTGGTGATGGCATTGGGGACTGTTGTGTTTGTCAACATTATTGGCAGACATGACATTTCCTTATTAAAATGCATTTCTTTTGATAGAGCTCTAACAACTTGTCTCTGCAGGACTTTGCTAGCCAGGTTGTGGCCACAACTTTTCGAGCCGATATCACCAGCATCCTTCACATTGCAGTCATGATGCCTGTACTCCTTGCCATCATTATTCACTGTATCTTCTTCGTCTTTGTTATCGTCATCATCAGCGTCTATGTCATAACTTGATTTGTTAGTTATTTCCTTTTCGGAATTTTCTTCGCCAGACTGGCTGGTTTTGTGACTGTGTTTTTTTGTACCACCACCACCCCCTCGCCCACCATTGAAATGTAGCTGTTCGAAACAGCCACTTGATGTCAGTAAAGCCATCGCTATCAGCAATATTAATGTGGAGGGCTTTATTGTTGTCATTGTGGAATCCGTTTTATTAGTGGCTGCATTTGGTTGAATGAAAAACGATAAAATTTTGGTAACAAAACTTTCCCGCAATGACATACCTTGTACGGGATCAGCTCTTGAATTGCTGGCGTACACAGTTTCGCGGGATTCGAGTACGGGCGCTTTTTGAGGGCGATCGCCTTCAACAGATTCTTCATTGCTGCGCCAGTAGAAGGTGGAAAGTGATGCAACGCACTGAAATGAGAAGAGAGAGAGAATGAAAAGTGAGAAAATTAGTTGGGTTGTTTGCGGGAGAGAAAATGGGATCAATAAAATTGTAATGAAATCTGATTAAAAAAAGTTCTTGATGTAAATATTAAATATTAAAAAATCGAAAAATATCGATTCAAAAAAATCGAAATTTTCTGAAAACGTCACTTTCAAACCGTTCACGGATTTGGTCGTTGTTACTGGGAACTTGCTCGCAAGCGGGAGTGCTTGAAGAGTACAAGTTTTATGTAAAGTTTACTCCTCTCTTTTGGTTTGTGTTTGCAGACCTTCTTCGTTTCTTGTTTGATAAACAAGAGTGCTGGACAAAGAGTAAGAAATTGCTCACAAGTAAAATCGAGTAAAAAAAAATAGTTTGTTTGCTGATTTGTGCGTTCGCATGTGTTTAGTAATAAACAGGTCTTAATATTGTTGGTCAAAATTCGGGTGTGCCGACTATAAGATACCCTACACCAATGTCCACTTGATTTGAAGAGGCTCTTGTAGAAGATAACAAAACTATAGAGTACATGATATAACTTCCAGAAATATTATGTATAAAAATATATATCGCAGCAAATGAAAAAATCTGAAAATCTGAAAAAAATATGAATCTTGATATATATGGACGCTGAATCCAAATCCGAATACCAAAGTGTCAATCATGGGAATGGGCCAAAATACCGCAGAACAACATTCGGGCAGCGTGTGACGGTTCCATTGGCCCTTTGAAGGCCATAATTCGTGCCAAAAATGACAAAATCGAACAAATCTAAACTTATTTTAAAATTGTATGCTATTTCCGACATTTTTTGCTTTCATTGAATAAAATTAAAAAAAAAAAAAAATATTGAGTTTGACTTTGTTAAAGTTTTTTTCTCACCCTGTATATATAGCTTTAACCATATCTGAACCGATTTTCACCGAATTTGAATCCCTTGCATTTTGTAAATATATTCTTTTTGGACGAATTGTACACAACGGCTCAGAATTAAATTGAAATCGGGTTAAGATGTGTATGGGAATCATATCTAATTTTGACCGATTCTCACCAATTTCAATAGGTTTCGTCTTTGGCAAAAAGAAAAAGAAATGTTTTGTGAGAAATTTGTGAACCTTTTATTTTAATCGGACAATTAATGCGACCTATGCTTTCCTTACAAAAATACATGGACATAAATCAGCATATATCGACTCCGGATGTAATTCTATGAAGATCATCAAAAGGAACTATGGGTCAATTTCGTTTCCTTCCGCATATCACACACAAATACACAAAGACATAATGCCCTACACCACAATGTGGCGTAGGGTATAAACATCCACCTATAGGTCCTTTTTTAAGAATCCACGTTTTAAAGCTTGCTATCGGTTCTTTAAAGTTCTATTTAAGAATCCACGTTTGAGGATTGTCTCGGTCCTTCAAAATTCTGTATAAAAAAACACGTTTAAGGCTAGCTATGGGTCCTTCGAAATTCTTTAAAAAAAAAATTCTTTAAAAAAATCACGTTTAGGGATTCAAAATTCTTTAAAAATCCACGATTAAGTCTTACCTCCCAAATTTCTATTAAAATTCTATTCAAAATTCTTTTTAAAATTCTATTTAAAAATCCATATTTAAGGCTTGCTATGAGCCCTTCAAAATTCTATTTAAATTTCTATTTGAAAATCCACGTTAAGGGCTTCCTATGAGCCCTTCAAAATTCTATTTAAAAATCCATGTTTAAGGCTTGCTACGAGCCCTTCAAAATTCTATTTAAAAATCTATTTGAAAATCCACATTAAGGGCTTCCTATGAGCCCTTCAAAATTCTATTAAAAATCCATATTTAAGGCTTGCTATGAGCCCTTCAAAATTCTATTTAAAATTCTATTTGAAAATCCACGTTAAGGGCTTCCTATGAGCCCTTCAAAATTCTATTTAAAAATCCATATTTAAGGCTTGCAATGAGTCCCTCAAAATTATATTTGAAAACCCACGTTAAGAGCTTCCTATGAGCCCTTCAAATTTCTATTTAAAAATCCATATTTAAGGCTTGCAATGAGTCCCTCAAATTCTATTTAAAATCCTTCCTATGAGCCCTTCAAAATTCTATTTAAAAATCCAAGTTTAAGGCTTGCTACGAGCCCTTCAAAATTCTATTTAAAATTATATTTAAAATTCTATTTAAAATTCTATTTAAAATTCTATTTAAAATTTTATTTTAAAATCCACGTTGAGGGCTTCCTATGAGCCCTTCATAATTCTATATAAAAATCAACTAAACGTTCCTTCCTTTGAGTCCTCCGAAATTCTATATAAAAATCCACGTTAAGGGCTTTCTATGAGTCCTTCAGAATTCTATATAAAAATCCACGTTAAAGGCTTCTTATGAGTGCTTCGAAATTCTATACCAAAATCCACGTTAAGGGCTTCCCATGAGTGCTTCGAAATTCTATACCAAAATCCACGTTAAGGGCTTCCTATGAGTCCTTCAACATTTTATATAAAATCAACGTTAAGGGCTTCCTATGAGTATTTCCCATCTTCAACAATCTTTATAAAAATCAACTTTAAGGGCTTGCTATGAGTGCTCCAAAGTTCTATTAAAAATCCACATTAAGGGCTTCCTATGAATCCTTCAAAATTGTATATAAAACTCCACGTTAAGGGCTTCCTATGAGTATTTCAAAATTCTATATAAAAATCCACGTTAAAGGCTTGCGAAGGGTCCCTCAAAATTCTATAAAAAATGAAAAGGTGAAAAAATTGAAATGAAAGGTGAAAAAATGTAAAGCTCTAGTCCCTACCCCTTTTGCAATACCTGTGGCATTTTTTTAAAGAATTTTCAAAAGGCCCGTCATTATATCATTTGTAATATACTTTCATTCTTTCTAGTACTTATTTTCATTTTTTTCGGATACCATTATCTTTATTACAGACAGACTAAAAATTATGATCTTTCACAATCGCCCAATACCAAAATACTATTAGTATTTTATAAGGCTTTCAAAAAATTCAGTCTTATATTGACCCCGTATACTATACCAAATTTGAGGCTTACTTTCTCTGCCACTATTATTATTGAGAACATTTAAGTACTATTGTGCACTTCAATTTTTAGAACACTTTAGTACTTTTCATACCGCTTTTGGTCCAAATATTTAAATATTTGGCACTTTTTCGTACAGTACAATTGTTCAAACCCCTCAACTGTGCATTTGTTTGTTACAGGCAAAGGAAAACGAGACGCAGTAATTTTTCATTAGGTGATATTCATTGAATCTCATTTTTGTTCCGTATATTTTATTCCTCATACCTCATATAACCCTTGGAAATGTCTCTGTCACTTTTTTGTCAAAATTGGTTTTTATTTCTTTGAACATAGTCAGATTTGTACGGGGTATCAAATTTTCGATCCCGCCCGACTTTGACATTTTTCTTGTTTAATTTAAAAGCAACACACCAAGAGTGGCCCTTTCCACATTTTTCTATATATGGGATTTTCCCAATATTAGTGTTTAGTAAAGGTACAAAAACCAAAAAAAAAAAAAAAAAAAAAATAAATAAATAAATAAATAAAAGGTTCTAACCCCTGTCGATATTTTGCACTATGTGATGGTGAAGTTAACGGCCAATTCTGTCCATTGTAGTTACGTTTTTTAATCCATAAATGCAATATATAGAATATACTCACCTTCAATTTCATATCGCCATTACGGAAATGATGTTGATCGACACGGAATTGGAGACCCAAAATAGATGTTTCCAATCCATCACGACCCCATAAAACTGGATCATATTTTCTCAACTGATAAGGTTCGGCTGGTTCGCCATTAATGAACCATGCCAGCTGGACGGCAGGTTTTGAACGACCGGCAGTGCAGTTTATGCGTACAGTATCACCGATTTGATAACGAGGACGGCCACCTGTGATTTTAGGGGCACCTTGGTCAGGTAAGGCTAGAAAAGGAGAGAAAAAGGAAAAATTCACATTATTAAAGGAACAAGAAGTAAAGGAGAGATAAAAAACTATTGAAATAAAATCAACTTTTTAATTCCCAAATAAAACTCTTTTATCTCTGTGTAGTCTGGGTTACCGAATTTAAGACTTTTCCTAATAAAAGGACAAATTTCACTCGCTCTTTTTTGTGTCACAGCGTATGTGTGTGCATCTCCGATGTCCCTGTGACCATGACTGCATATCCTCTATACGTGTGACATTTTATCAACTTGACATGTGTAGAAGAGGACATTTGTCTCATATTCTGGGCCATAGTTTTTTGTGAACAACTTTTGTTGATTCTTTTGTTTTTTCAATTTTTTGTTTTGCAGAGAACCAATAAAAAAAACTCCAGTAGAAATTCAATATTTGACAACGTCAACTCATGAAAAAAAAGTTTCCCGTTTTTTGTTGTCTCTTCGCTTTTTTTTTCACAATGATCGCTTTTTACTTTGTTTTACCAGTTGAAAGGCCATAGCGGCAGCAAAAAACCTCTGTCAGAGTTTGGAGCGGTATGAAGCTAAGGTCATTTCCACAAAAGATTTAAAAGTTTAGCTTGCATCTTTGTGTTATTGTTGGATTTGGGTTTTGGGGTTATTTCTAGGGCCTTGCATATACATAAAGGGAATTTGGCAGATTTTTAAACAAAAAAAAAGAAGTGTAAAATAGAAGTTCGGAATTTATCGATTGATAAATTAAAGGGGAATATATGTACATAAGCGTATTTTTCATAGGAAGCAGTTTTAATTGCATGATTTATTTAGGTTGACATGTATAATATATATAGCAAACAATTGACCTACATGTCTTCCAATGTTTATATTTACTTCACTTGAGGAACTTAAATGCGGAACAACACCCAAATAGATAAGGACCCTCAAAATTGTATCGAAAATGATTTGTTCCAGAAAGACACAGGGTCTAAGGCAGCTCCAGCCAAAATTTACCGAATCAAAATAAAGGTTTTTAATCCGATGTCTCTTTAGAAAAATTATGGTTCATGATATCGAAGTCGAACTTTCGACAATGTACAGGGTGAGATAAAAAACTGCAATTAAGTTCAGACTGCTGTTATTTCAAAGTCACTCGTCCGACAGCTGTTAAAATTATTCCAGTGACAGATCATTATATTGTTTACAAGCGTACAAAAGAATTTTGGCGAGAATTTTCCAGAAAAAAAGTTATTCGTGATGGAATTCAAGCGTGATAGTGTGATTTCTTTATATTTAGATATAGAACCACAAGTGGCTATCGTTAGAGCACTCCAGTATTTAAATGTGAATAAATCTTTTGTGTCTCGTAGCACCGCGCGTTACCTTGATACTGGTAGCGTAGCCCGAAGTCAAGAAAGTGAACGGAAGACAACAGCAACATCAGCAGAAATGGTTCGAAAAGTAAAGAAGCGACTTGATTGAAACCCGCGTCGCAGTGTCGATAAATGGCTCGTGAGCTGAACTTACCGCAATATTTCATTCGGCAAATATTGAAAAATAAGCTCGGGGTAAAGCCGTTGAAATTCCAAAAAGGGCAAGAACATACACCACAACAGAAAGAAAATAGACTCAAAAGAGCTAAAGAGTTGCTTCGTTTGGCCGAAAGTCGTGAACTGCCGAATTTGGCTTTCTCCAATGAGAAAATATTCGTTGTCCAGCAGTTTGTAAACAAACAAAATGATCACGTTTACTTGCCAAAGAGGTCAGCTGAAAATGTGCACCTTCAGTTGGCCACCGGAACTCAAGCGCCGGCCATGGTAATGGTGTGGGTCGGCATAACAGCCTATGGTTACAAAATAAGGTTCCTCGCTTCATTTCCAGCGCACAATGACCACCAAAATCTGGGGATACCAATCCGTTGGACTATTGTGTCTGGAGCATTGTGGAAAGCAAGTGTCGATCACCTCAAGCAAGCGCTTCGGGAGTGGGCCAAAATACCGCAGGGCAATATTGGGGCAGCGTGTGACGGTTTCATTGGCCGTTTGAAGGCCATAAATCGTGCCAAATGTGACCAATTCGAAAAAATCTAAACTTATTCTAAAATTAGATGATTTTTCCGACATTTTTTGCTTTAATTCAATAACATTTAAAAAAATGTAAAAATTATGGCGTTTGACTTTGTTGCAGTATCTCACCGTACATGCCCGCATCTTCTAAAGGTCCCGTATGATGGTATTCGGTATTTTCGTGATATTGTCTATACTTCTCACCGGAATTATGTCAAATTGGGGATTTGAAATTTATTTGCATTTGGATACTTCTTCCAATAGCAGCAAAGTTCATGAACTGATCCCTGTCTATAGCCTTCACTTCATCCCCATATTCGTCATTTTGATGTTTTTAGCTCCGTTATCTCAAACTTGGTGTTTGGAGCTCTGAATAGGCAACAACGTATGTGGCTATATACGCAAGTATAGCTTCATATAACAGTAACACCTGCTATTCGGAATTTATTAAATTTTAACGGGATTTTTCCATGTTTGTATACCCTCCACCATAGTAACACATCGAAATATATATGTTAGACCCCATAGAGTATATATATTCTTGTTCAGCATAAAATTCTATGTCAACTTAGGGATGTCCATATACCTGTCCGTCTGTGGAAATGACTATGGCTTCCGAACAATATGAAGTAGGTTGATAAAATTGTACTCAAATATGAATTATATCTGCAGGACTTCTGGTATTGAAAATAGGTTATGTTGGTCCACGTTTTGGTAATATAATATACCTCTTTTACCCCTCTATTGGTACCTTTTTTTTATTTAAGCGGTATTTTAGTGATTTAAGCGACATTATTCATCGAAAATGTTTCAAATTTAATATTTGAAGTTCGTAACGGATAGTACGGCCTACGATAAAAATTTGTCGATGCAGGTTCATGTCTTCGTATAGCCCGCCTATAACGGTATCTCCCGATATTCGGTATTTTGATGATTTTAGCGGCATTATTCACCGGAATTGTTTCAAATATGGTATTTGAAGTTCGTAATGCTTACTACAGCCTAAGACAGAAAATTGTCTGTGCTGGTTCACGTCTTCGTGCCACCATATAACAGTACCTCTTGCAATTTTCCGGTCTTATTGTTTCTTAATAACTTTTATTATTTTTGTCTTTTATTAAATATATATATTTTTTTTTGTAATTTGATAAAAAGGATCTGAAGGAGGCTGCAACTTCTACATATATTCAGATTTTTTTCTGTGCATGTATGGTAATTTTTTTAGATATATAAGAGACCTTAAAATATATCTACAATAATTACCATACATGCACAGAAAAAATCGGAATATATGTAGAAGTTGCAGCCTCCTTTCAGATCCTTTTTATAAAATGACAAAATATATAGAGATTCGTTTTCTCTATATGTTTTACTTAGTGTAGCTATTTTCACCTTTCCCAAGCATATTTTCTACATTCCGAAATCAGCTTTTGAATAATTCGACCTAGTTTTATTGAAGCTATTACAAAATTGAAATGTCCTTCCTCTTAAAAAAAAAAAACATTCCAATACACATTTTAGTTTTCCAAAGGTAAGGTACGAATGTCAGCATCTGTTGTGTCACATTCAATTTGAGATTTCATCAATTGGGTTTTTTTTTGTAAAAGGTAACACAGAGCACTTTCATCGAATGCTGTTACTTCATATGAAAATCATGTTTGAAGCTCCTATCAACCTACATACATGGCTGACTGATTGGCTGCCTGGCTGGCTGACTGGTAGTATCGGAAAAACTCAATGTATTACTTTGAAATTAAATCCCTGCGCGGCCTTTAAGCCTTTGTAATTGTTTTTCTGTGTTCAGTTAGTTAGCAAAGCAAATCAGCTCCCAACAATTAAACAAAAGCAAAACACGACAGTAGGGGTTTTTTTACCCGATGTATTTTTAATTGATGGTAAAACAACTTGCTCTATAGATTCGCAAAATAACATTGTACCCGTTGTTGTTGTTGCTGTTGTTTTTTCTCTACATGTTTTATGTAATACACGAGCTGTATTTAACAATTATTAAAAACATCGCCGAACAACATAGTTTAGGTACTTTTTTTTTTGTTTTGCAAAAAATCTCCACCACACATTGTGGATGGAATGTTTGTATTGTTTTTAAGAGTTTTGTTTTGTGTTTTTGTATGTCCGCTCGGTATAAAATTATTATTGCAATTGTTTTTCACTCTCTCTCGTTGTTATTCAACGAAATATTTTTGTAGCAATTTTTTGTTATTATTTTCTACATATTTATTTCTTCTATTGTATTGCGATTTTTTTGTTGTTCACTCGATTAAATACTTACATACAACAACCATATCACCATGTTCCGTTACTGTCTGAAATGAGGGTGCCTCGCCCGATACTTCACAACGAAATCGCCCAGCTGATTGTAGGTTAACTTCACGTAATGTCACAACAGCATCACTTGAATTGTGAACCTAAAATTGCAAAATATAAAAAGTTATTAATTTTTTTTGTGGTGACTTTATAAAGCATGGTTTAATGACAGATATTTATTTAATTGTTTTTACATTTTTGCTGTAAACAACAAACTTTTTGTGTCGGTGTGTGTGGGAATATATTAAATATTTTTGCTGATGAATTTCAAAAAAAGTGAAGTGACAGATAAGGGCTCTTGTGGTCCTTGATAAAAATTATTGGTTTTTCCTCTAGAGCAAAACAACTCAAAAATAGGAATTTATTTATTTTATTATTATTTTTTTTTAATTGAGAATTTTATTGATATTTCCACATAATTTAGCTTTGTATGGATTCAAAAAAAGTATGGAAATGAATTTTAAAGATGAGTGAGGATTCTGACAAAATTTCATCATTTTTATATCCCCATTTTTATATCATGCACCAAACGATATGTCATTAGGTTTGCAGCAACTCGACAAGGTCTGTCATTTTCTGGAAAAACTCTTTAAGTCATCTTAAGCTAATTTCGTGTTATTGGTTCCGTATCTGAATAATAGTGTTTTGAACATTTGATACATATATAGTGATATTAAATATTTTGAATTTTATTCTTAAAACAAAAGCATCTTGCGAAAACTGTAAAAAACACAAATAATTTCAAAACTGTGAAGGAAAAGTCGGGCGAGCCCGACTAAATGATGCCCTACACCACTATGCATATTTAGTAGAGCTACCAGCAAGAAATAAACGTTTATTATGCTGCGAATTTATGTAAAGTAGACCTTAGTGAATGCATATTATGGTTTAGAGCAGTTATAATTTGGAATCTAATAATAATAATATGCGAGGTATATCCAGCGAGTTTGGCGGAGTCATTTGTAACCCAAATACATTGTTATAGAGAATATGTTATGATTTCAGGTTGAATTATATTAGAATAGTGCCCGCTACTTTTTCAGCGAAATGCTCACCTCGTTCCAACATTTCGTGTGAGACCACAGAATTTTAATTCGGAGAAGTTTTGAATCATTTATCCAATAATTAGAATATCTACAATCATAAAATTTTTAAAAAATTCTTTCCTATAATCAATAGATCTGAAACCATAGATCTTTAAAAATATTTTTCTAAAACTTTAAGGAGGGGATCATTTACAAATTTCTTTTAAGGACGAAGAAAGTTAAAATTGTGGATTTGTTTTAAATATATTATACACAGGGTGAGAAATAAACTGCAAAAAAGTCAAACGCCATAATTTTTACTTTTTTTAATTTTAATAAGTGAAGGCAAAAAATTTCGGAAATAGCATAAAATTTTAGAACAAGTTTAGATTTGTTCGAATTGGCCACCTTTGACACGAATTATGGCCTTCAAACAGTCAATGAAATCGTCACACGCTGCCCGAAAGTTGTTCTGCGGCATTTTGGCCCATTCCCGGCGAAGCGCTTGCTTGAGGTGATCGACACTTTGGTATTTTTTAGTGCCAACCTTGCTTTCCAAAATACTCCAGACACAATAGTCCAACGGATTGGTATCCGGAGATTTTGGTGGCTATTATGCGCTGAAAATGAAGCGAGTAACCTCATTTTGTAATCATTCTTGGGTGGCGCGTGCTGAGTGTGATAGTGCTCAGTCCTGTTTAATACACCCTCCAGAATATTTTCGCGATAATATTCAGCATTTATTCTGATGCCACGGTCGATTAATACGAGCGGAGAGCGACCATCGTCTGTTATGGCGGCTCACATCATCACAATGGCCGGCGCTTGAGTTGAGTTGTGGTCAACCGAAGGTGCACATTTTCAGCTGACCTCTTTTGCAAGTAAACACGATCATTTTGTTTGTTTACAAACTGCTGGACAACGAATGTTTTCTCATAGGAGAAAGCCAAATTCGGCAGTTCACAAGTTGCGACCAAGCAAAGCAACTCTTTAGCCCTTTTTAGTCTATTTTCTTTCTGTTGCGGTGTAAGTTCTTGCACTTTTTTGTAATTTCAATGGCTTTATCCCGAGCGCATTTTTCAATATTTGCCGAATGGAATATTGCGATATGTTCAGCCATCACGAGCCAATTTTTGGCCACTGCTACGCGGGTTTCGATCAAGTCGCTTCTTTACTTTACGAACCATTTCTGCTGATGGTGCTGTTTTATTCCGTCCACTTCTCTGACGTCGGGCTACGCTACCAGTATCACGGTAACGAGGGATGGACGAGACACAAAAGATTTATTCACATTTAAATGCGGGAGTGCTCTAACGATAGCCACTTGTGGTTTTCCAGCCAATTATAAAGAAATCACACTGTCACGATTGAACTCCATCACGAATAACTTTTTTTCTGGAAAATTCTCACCAAAATGCTTTTGTATGCTTGTAAACAATATAGTGAGCTATCACTGGCATACTTTTAAGAGCTGTCGGACGACTGACTTAGAAATGACAGCAGCCTGAATTTGGTTGAAGTTTTTTTCATCTCACCCTGTATATGAGCTAAATCTAAATGTGGACGAATTATAACCAATTTCAAAAGGGTTCATCCTTGGGACAAACAAATGATTCCTGAAAAAGTGTATCTCAATCGGACAAAAAATGCGATCGGTTTTCTAAAGCACATGGGCAGTACATCAAGATTCTGGGCGAAGAAGACCTCCGAAAAGTATTTTATTCGAACAAGAATTTCAAAAAATCTTCAATGCCAAGAAGATGCCGTGAAACCTTTGATGCGAAGAAGACCTCCAGGAGGTATTCTATTCGAAGAAGAACTCCAGAAGGTCTTACAGACGAAGAAACCCACTAGAAGTCCCAATAGAAGTCCTTCTATGCTAAGAAGACCTCAAGTAGGCTTTCCATACGAAGAAGATCTCCAGAAGTTTTTCAATTCAAAGAAAACTTCCAGAATGTCTTCGGATGGAATATTACGAAGAATGTGATTCTATTGAGATCATCAAAAGGAAGTATGTGTCTATTTCTTATCCTTCTCCTTGTTACAAAGAAAAGTCCTCCTAGAGGTCTGCTGGGTATAGAATACTCCAATAATGCGCCCTCATAGACGATTTCTTTGTATAGAAGAATGGAATATCTTATAGCAGGTCTTCTATAATCAGAAGTCATAAAAATACTGCAAGATTCCGAAAACATGCCAAGGTCATCAAGACTTCTTTTATTCGTAGAGGATTTTATTATAGCGAACTTCTATACCAAAAATGCCTTAAAGTGGTTTTCTCTACACTCAAGAGCTTCTGTCCGCTTCGAATTCTCACACCATGCTTTTCAATCCATGTATTTATCTACCAAAATCTCTATGTCCATATATTATCCCCATATGTGTTCAACGATTTATTTTATTTTGTGAAGTCCTCTTTGACCAACCGAAAAATACCTAATTCCATTACACTGGCCACCATGCAAAAGAGCAACCAAAAAAGTAGCAACAGTAACAACAACACTAATACCACTCAACTATGAGAACATAAATCTTAAATTGTTTTCCTAACAACAATTTTACAACAATCGATTAAGCTTAAATAATATCCGGTTTGGAATTGAGAAGGGATTTTTGTTGTTAGTGTTGCTCTCGTTGATGATGGTGTTATTAGAATGGTGTTTTGGCCATTAAACACAAACGAGCAGCAGCAACACCAACAATAACCACAAAAAAATCCATCATAGCCAGCCACTACACGAATAGTAAACAAATCGCCAAAGTAAAGTAAGGAGGAGGTACAATGGAGAGTCTCTTGGCTCGATTGTAACAAAAACATATTTAACAGCCAATTCCGATGGAACAGAAAGGTACTTCAAAGTAGTAGAGACTAGTCAGGCATAGACTGGGCTCCATGCCACAAGGAAGAGAGGGAGAGAGAGAGAGAGAGAGAGAGAGAGAGAGAGAGTACAAGGAGAAAGAGGGAAATTAGGGTGGTGGTAGAAGGGCTTTTGGAGAATAGTTTCGTTGCGATGGACGATAATGTTTTATCTAAAGTTAAACATCATTATCATCAAACGGCGGCAGCGCAAGTTGCACATACTTGCGCCTCAACCACATTGTGCTCGCTTCGCATATCCTTGCAATGTTCAAAACTAGCTGGCCAGCCATATGGATGGATATGGTCTATATTGATAGATGATTTTGATATTTGGCTACGTGTGTAAAGAGGTATTCAGCACGGCCCGGGGCAATACACAACAAAAAAACAAATGGTGAGATCTTAACAAATGAACAACTTTGTTCCACTGAGTGAGGAAATTTATTACTGTTCTTCACTGCTGCTCTAAAGTAGCAACAAAAAACAAAAACAATCTATTTGGTGGCTGGTGCTGGCAGGCATACACTAACAAACATTATGCACCCCGACTAAGGTTGCATTAGCCAGTTAGATGAGTAGCTTACTACATAAAGGTGCCGGTCGTTACTGAATGCTAAAATGCAGATATAACTCTTGGCAAGTGGAAAAGTGCACACGTAACGAAATAGGGACAACAGTAGTCCGTACACCGATTCGTTTACTTACTTTGAACGAACTGTAGCCATTTCAATCTCCGCCATAGAAGGGCGTCAGAGCTAAAAATGGTTATTCACTACTTTTCTACTATTGCGTGGAAAAAACAAGCCAGCCATTTGAATTATGGCATTGAACTTTATGCATTGCCACTGAAGGATGATTGTCTGATTGCAGTTAAGACTTAAACAGTTGCCAACCGTTGTAACCGTTGCAAGGTAGTCGGGACTTTATTAACAGTTATTAAGAACAACTTATATCGTATCAAAATGGAACTTCTATACCCTATAAGCAACACCATACCGTATTCTACATCAGCACATAAATTTGATATTAATATTCCGAAAATCGAAACAATTTGTGACTGATTCCATATTTTTGAAAGTTGTAATTATTCAAAAAAAAAAATTTTTTTTGTGGGCCCATTCGATAAATGTGTGATTTATGTTGTTTTTTTAATATTTTTACCATTTGTATGGGAGGTACCACATTGAATGGACCGGTATACACCATCATCAGTCCAAATTTAAAATTAATAGAATTTTTGAAATGATAAAAGTTTGAAGAAAATCTTTGACTTGGGTTGTAAGGACTCCCGTGACTATTTCGTGGGCAACCTAGCAGAAGGAGTTAACCGACAATTTATTGTTTCCCTATCGTCCAAACTTGATGTGAAGTTTGGAGAAAATCTGATGTCCCTCAAAAATAATGGCGCGTAGTAGTCAGACATGCTAGCAGACGGACAGATATTGCTAGGTCGACATAAATTGTCCTGAAGTGGCGTCCGTCCACGGAGACGTAGGATGTCCACATCCATTGTCCACAAAAGAGCCGAAAGCCTAAGGAAAAAGTTTCTAGAACAACTTCTGACCGAAAAAGATCTCTAGAAGTGCTTCAATTCAAAAAATATCTCGAGAAGTTCTTCAATGCGAAAAAGACCTCTAAAAGGTCTCCTAAGCGAAGATTTTATATGCGAAGAAGACTTCCACAGGTCCTCTATGCGAAAAAAAAAACCTCCAGAAGATTTTCTATGAAAAGAAAACCTCCAGAAGGCCTTCAATGTTAAGAAGAAGTCCTTTCATGTGAAGAAGACCTCCAGAAGTTCCTCAATGTGAAGAAAACCTCCAGAAGAGTTTCTATGCAAAGAAAACCTTCAGAAGGTCTTCAATGTTAAGAAGAAGTCCTTTCATGTGAAGAAGACCTCCAGAAGTTCCTCAATGCGAAGAAAACCTCCAAAAGGTCTTCTATGCGAAAAATATCTCGAGAAGTTCTTCAATACGAAAAAGATCTAAAAAGGTCTTATAAGCGAAGAATATTTCAAGAAGGCCTGTTATGCGAATAACACCATCAGAAGGTCTTCGATGCGAAAAATATCTCTAAAAGGAAGAAGATTTCAAGAAGGTCTTCTATGCGAGGAAGACCTACAGAAGGTCTTCAAGTCTTAGAAGACTTCTTGAAGGTTTTTAAGCAGACCCCTTGACATTTTTCACGACTTGGAAGACATCCAGAAGATCTTCAAGCTTTAGATGACCTCCAGAATGTCTTTAAGTCTCAGAAGGCCTCCCGGAGGTTTTCAAGTCAAGAACAACCAGAAGATTAAGGCCTTTTGAAGCCGTGTAAGTCCTAGAAGCCTCCTGAGGTCTAAGAAGACCTCCAGAAGATCTGCAAGTCTTAGGAGACTTCCAGGAGGCATTCAAGTCTTAGAAGTCATCCAGAAGTTCTTCAAGTCTCACAAGACCTCTAGAAATTCTTCAAGACCTTCAAGTCTTAGAACATCTCCAGGAGGATTTCTAGTCTCAGAAGGCCTCCAGAAGATCTTCAAGTCTCACAAGACCTCTAGAAGTTCTTCAAGTCTTAAAAGACCTCTTGAGGGCCTTCAGGTTTTTACGCCTTTGAAGACCTTCAGGAGGTCTTCGACGTTTAAAAGACCTCTTTAAGATATTCTATTCGAAAAGGGCCTTTAAAAGTGTCTTCAAGATGTAGAAAACCCCTATGGCCTTCAATTGATAGAGGGACCTTCATATCTTTACCAAATTCCTTCTATAGATAGAAGTGTTCAAAAGTACACAACTTCCTGAGATATTATTTAGGCTTTCTGACCAGAGAAGATCTTCTAAAGATCCTCTTCTTCTTCTAAAGGAAATTGTCCGCTGGAAGTCTCCTCAACCTTGGGGGTCTTTTGACCAGTGATGGTTCCCAGTGGTCTTCTAAACTCGGAGTTCTGAGTTCTGCTGCACGTAGAAGACATAATAGGACTCCTAGAGATCATCTGGACATAAACGACCTCCTTAAGTTCTTCAAAATATTGATGACCTCTCAAACGGGGTGCTGTACGTTGAGGAGCTTATAAGGCTAATGGCTCCTAGGGGTTTGGGAGCTTCAGAAGACTTTCTGAAGAACTTAATTTCTTCAGAAAAAACTTCTTGATGATTTCCTGTAGGTAGGAAGAACTTCATTTCAGAAAAAACTTCTTGATTGTTTTCTGTAGGTAGTAAGTAGTCCCATTAACGTTTTCCTATAGCTGGAATATCTCTTGGCAGATTTTTATGGAACTTCTTTAAAAAGAAGATTTCGAAAATTTTCCATACAGAAAGAATACCTCTGAAAGTATTTATATTTATGTAGAAATTGGAGTGATAGCATACTGTTCAAAAGCTTCATCTAAAAATTGTTCTCTTTTATGTTCCCTCTTGGTATTATGTCTCCTAAACTTCTTCTATTGCTATAATATCACCTAGAGCCCTTCTATGTGTCAAAGTCCTCATAAAGTTCATCCATTCCGAAACGGCCTCTTTAAGGACTTCTGGGCTTCAATTTATTTGTAGATATGAAAAATACAGAACTTTTAGTTCATCTTCAAATAAACGATATCCAAAGGACCTTTTATAGTTAGATGGTCTCCTAAAGGACTTTTCTCGTAGACGACCTCCCATTATCTCATTTTACTCTATTTTCTGAAGAGTGCTCTTACATTTAACCTCCCTTTATATGTCATTTACCTGAAGAGCCTTTTTCATTTTACAACTTCACTTGATTGTGATACACTGTCTCACTGTCATTGTCACACATTCAAGGAGTCACTTCAATATCATCGCAAAGTTCATCCATTAACATTCTATCACTCCTGCAACAACAAAAGAGAATGTGCAACACTTGAGAATAGCCTTTTTGTGAGATTCTCGCCTATAAAAATGTCCAACGAAGCAATGCCGTTACGACTGATATTATTTGCCATGCTTGAACAGTAGCTTAATGTTTGAAATTGCTTAAAAGCAAGCAAGATGATAAAATAGGTTCAATTTTCCAAGGATGATGGGCGTAGGTGGCAAATGGGATAACTAACAAATTTTCTGAATAAAAAAATAATCTCGAGGAATTTTTATGATGTAAAATTAAACATTTGAGCTATAACTTTTGGAAAAAATATTGAATTTTTACCGTTTTCCTAAAATATATTCCCCAGAATGTATTCTAAAATTAAAATAAAAACAATAGTTCAAAATAAAAAAAAAATATTTATTTGAAAGGTCCTTTCAAGTTCTTCCAGTTAAGGTGAGTCCAAGCTGATGTTATATATGTATACCTAAATTCAAAATTCTCTATTCAAATTATTATTACTTGTACTATTTTGCATTCCCCCAACCACCCGGAATAAAACACCCAAAGTAGCTGATAAAGGATGTAACACGAAAACCGGGGAGAATCAGAGGAAGAAGAGGCCAACAACGAAAAAAGTAAAACGACATAATGTAACGTATGCTAGTGGTACTTACATCAACTGAAACACCTGGCAGCAGGAATGTTTGAGCTGGTGGCATATCTCTGGGTACATATCGATAGAATTCATTGCCGTCCTTATACCATTTAACGGAGTACAAAGATTCACCATCCAAGTCATAGAGGCACTCCAGTTGTGCTGCTGAGCCCTTAACCACGTAATTCGGTATACGTACTTCCACCAAACGTAAACAGTGTGAGAAATCTAGAGGATGGAAAAAAAGAGGAGAGGCAAAAAAACACAAATCAGTAACAGAAAAACAGAATTAGTACATAGACAAACGCATGCACACACACACACACACTATGAAAAAAAATCAGTAGATGCTAGTCAGCCATACAAGGGCTTAGCTAATATAAAGTTTTTTTTTTTGTGGATTTTTTCAACAATTTTTAAAGAGTCTAAGATAAATGGGATTTTGGTATTCTACACGTTGCTTTTTCTTTCATTTCGGGAAGTTTTTCCTTTTTTTTTTTGGTGAAAAAGTTTCCTTTTAAAAAACGCTTGCCGTTTTTGCCCTGTAATACATATAGCCCTGTTGAAATAGGTTTTAGCCTTCTCATGTTCAAAATCTCAATTTTTTGTGTGCGCTTTGGTGTATATTTGTGTAGATTATATATTTAAACCACAGATTTTTGGTAAATTTATTTTGCAGGAATGGTTGCCGCCTCAAATGAAAGGATAGAAAATTGCAAACATGTGAGAAAATTTTAAGTTTGGGCTGAATTTTTCAACAAAAATTTTCTAACGATTATCAGAGATATAGAATATATTTACGATATTTTTAGTGGGAGTATTACTACGATCGAATCGAAACTCTGTTTGAAAAATATTTCGAAAGAATATATTTAAAAAGCCAGCAAGCAACGGCTATCGTCGTTCGGGGATGAACATGTTATACCCGACAACACTACAAAATGTTAGAAGCCTCCTTATGTCCATATCCATTTTGGAAGATTTCGCTTTTGAAATTATGTCATAGAACACTATCCAGATATTACCCTTAGCTTCTTGCCAAAATGCTAGACTTTTTTGCCGTCCTAACTCTCCTCATGCAAACATCTTTCTGTTTTTGCTTCATTTGACACCCCAAATATTTTGATCTCATCTCCAAATGCAAGATGTTATGGCTATCTCACCCACTAAATATTACCCAATGACCATCCATATTGGAGGGTTTCTGCCCAGGCCTAAGCTCTAGCTACCTTCAGCGTCGATAGGTCTATAATTGTGATCTGTAGAGCAACGGCAAAATCAGGAAAATTTTCATATAGGCTCCTATTCTGACCATAACCCCACCTCCATGCAAAATTTCGGCCCATAATTGCGACCTTAGCGTGATTACAAATTAACATGGACAAATGGACAGATGGACGGACGGACATACATAGCTAGATCGACGCAGTTCGGTGAGATAGGAAGATCCATATATACTTTCCTATGTGGGAAACCAATATTTCGAGGTGTTACATAATTTTTGTCCCAATCAAACATAGTGTTGTAGGGTGTAATAGCCAAATTTTAGGCTTGGGAATTTAACGTCACTCGTTCTAATATTAATATTTGCTGCCTTAATCTAAAAAACCCACTAAGAAAAAGCCAAAAGTCGGACGGGCCGACTACAGCGAGAGATAAAAAAAACTGCAACGAAGTCAAACGCCATAATTTTTACATTTTCTTTTTATATTTTATTGAATGAAAGCAAAAAATGTTGGAAAAATCATCAAATTTTAGAATATGTTTAGATTTGTTCGAATTGGTCACCTTTGGTACGAATTATGGCCTTCAAACGGCCAATGAAACCGTAACACGCTGCCCGCATCTTGCTCTGCGGTATTTTGGCCCATTCCCGGTGAAGCGCTTGCTTGAGGTGATCGACATTTTGGTATCTTTTAGTGCCAACATTGCTTTCCAAAATACTCCAACGGATTGGCATCCGGAGATTTTAGTGGCCACTACGCTGGAAATGAAGCGAAGAACCTCAATTTGTAACCATTCTTGGGTGGCACGTGCTAAGTCCTGTTGGAATGTCCAAGGTCTGCGGCCAAAATGTTTCGCGATAATATTAGGCATTTATTCTGATGCCACTGTCGATTAATACGAGCGGAGCGCGACCATCGGCTGTTATGGCGGCCCACACCATCACCATGGCCGGCGCTTGAGTTCTGGTGGCCAACCGAAGATGCACATTTTCAGCTGACCTCTTAGGCAAGTAAACACTATCATTTTATTTCTTTACAAACTGCTGGACACGAAATGTTTTCTCATCGGAGAAAACCAAATTCGGCAGTTCACCACTTTCGGCCAAGCGAAGCAACTCTTTAGTTCTTTTGGGTGTATTTTCTTTCTGTTGCGGTGTAAATTTTTGCACTTTTTAGAATTTCAATGTCTTCACGCCGAGCTCATTTTTCAACATTTGCCGAATGGAATATTGCGATATGTTCAGCTCAGGGGCCATTTTTGGCCACTGCGACGCGGGTTTCGAACAAGTCGCTTCTTTACTTTTCGAACTATTTCTGCTGATGTTGCTGTTTTCTTCCGTCCACTTCCATGACGGGCTACGCTACCAGTATCACGGTAACGAGCGATGGTACGAGACACAAACGACTTATTTACATTTAAATGCTGGAGTGCTCTAGCGATAGCCAGCCAAATATAAAGAAATCACACTATCACGATTGAATTCCATCACGAATAAGTTTTTTTTCTGGAAAATTCTCACCAATATGCTTTTGTGCGCTTGTAAACAATATAATGAGCTGTCATTGGAATAATTTTAACAGCTGTCGGACGAGTGTCTTAGAAATAACAGCAGTTTGAATTTGGTTGCAGTTTTTTCATCTCACCCTGTATATATGGTAGCTATAACTATATCTGAACCGATTTACACCAAATTTGAAGTACTGGTTTCTAGGATAAATTCAGTCGTAATTACCAAAACTCAGTCCATTTGGGGTCATATTAGTCATTTGGTGCACAATAAACCTGATTTTGTATAAAGATATATATGGGAGCTATATGCAAACTTGAACCGCTCTCGATGAAATTTGACAGAGGTATTTTCAAGCAGTATATGATGTCCAGTAGAAAATATGATTTTTTGTGGAGTGCATATTACACATGTTAGGGACTTAAAATCCTAAATCGAATGAAACATATGTATGGGAGCTACTTTCTTCTAAACTGAATTCGGTAGGATGTACCAAAATTCAGGTCATTAGGATTTATATTGGCCATTTTGTGCACAATGTACCCGAAATCGGTTGCAGATATATGGGAGCTATATCTATATCTGATCGGATTATAACCAATTTTAATGGGGTTCGTCCTTGAGTCAAACAAAAATCTTTTTGCAAAATTTCATCTCAATCGGATAATAAATGCGACCTGCATTTTGTTCACCAGAATACATGGACGGGCGGGAGCACAGACTAGCATACATAAATCGACTCCAAAAGTCATCCTAAGAAGTTCCTCGAAAGTAACTAACTCTCTGTTAAAAACTAATGCACAAAGACATAATACCCTTACCACTTTGTGGTGTAGGGTATAAAAATGAAAACATCAACGGCAACACTGTCTCGCCATATCCGTGTCAGCGTATGCATGTCTGTGTTGGTTTGCTTCTATTTATATATATTTTAGTTATATTAGATAAGTAATGGTCAGTTTGGCTTTACTATTTTTTTAGTTTTTATTTTTTGGCTAACTTATTTGTATGCTTTATCTCATTCAATCTTCAAATCTACACCAGACAAGAGTTAAGTGTTTTAAAGTGGTTTCCTAATAGTTTAGCCACGTTTGCACAAATCTCATTTTCATGTACGTTTTTTTGTTGCTCTCCCCCGGTCTCTCTCTCCTTCTCTCTTGGTTTATCTTTATTTTCATAGGGAAAAACATGATTTTTAATTGAGTGTTGGTTTTTCTGTTGTTTGTTGTCGGTGTTGTTGGCTTTCTGCTTTTCTAGTTAGCAGTTGTAAGGGCATCATTTAATTTAATTAGCAGCAGCAGTTGAGTTGTAATGATTATAAGAGTGGTTTTAAGCCATGAACATAATATCGGACATTATCACAGTTATGTTGAGTGTAGGATGTTGTGTATGTGTGTGTGTGCGTGTTGTGAAGTGTAAAATTTAATTGATTTAACATGAATACTCAATTTAAATTAAAAGAAAAAATAAATGGGGTTAGGAATTTGTTTGTAATATTTTTCTCCTTTTTCGATATTTCATTTTTCAGTTGTAAAGAAAGCAATTAAGGCACAAATCAAGGATAATAGTTTTGCAGCCAAGTAATGGAAATAACCGCAAGGTAAACAACAAACAATGTTTTTTATTTTTATTATTTTTTTTTTATATTGAGGAAAATATAAATATATTAAAATATAAATATTGTATATTTTTTATTTATTTGTATATTGAGGACATAAAACCAAAAACCTCAAACTGAGGTATTTGAGGTGTGGGCAGAGTACAAAAAATTAAAAATACAATAGAATTCTTTACCAGAAACTACAGTTCAAATTCTATGTGGGTAGAACGAAACTGGATTTTTTTTTACTTGGCAGGGTATAGATTTTTGATTTTCACTGCAAGGAATATGTTTGGGTCTGGTATGTAAAAGAAGTGAACGAACTTCTTATACCTTCCATAATGAGAAATCTTAAATTATTTTGAAATGACTTGTCTAGGTATCCACAAAATTTTCGAAAGCTATTAAAGCCTTTAAAAATAGTTAAAACCGCGCAACAAAACTCTTTTTTTTTAATAATTACATGAAAATCCTGGAGTTTACGAATCAAAAGTTAAAAACAGAAGATACGTGTATTTGTTTCGAAAGCTGAAATCGCCAAATAGAGTGAATCAGTTCCCACATTTTTACTAATTTATTTATTATTATTATTATTATTATTTTTTTTGAAAATTTCGAATTTTGAATCCTAGATTTCTCTGAACAATTAAATTTTTGGTATATCGGGTTTTTATAGATTATAATCTAGGATGATTTTGTTGCAAAATTTGACTTGATTTTTTTTTTATTCAAAATATGGTAAAGTCCCTTAAACGGCATCGTATTCCAGAAAATAAATTACATTGAACAAAAAAAAAAATATTTAAAATGCAATCTATTATGAAAGAGGTTACATCTCAAAGTAACCAAGTAAAAGGGGAAAGTTCCACCCTCTTCCACATTTTCGAGCCATGA